GAAGGGTTCTGCCCCTTTCTTTTCTATCAACTGTCTGGTGTAGCTTTAGTCCTATTCCATGTTTAGCACATAATGAATGTAGCCATACAGTGCATATTAATGTCCCCTTAAAACTGAAGTAGGTTTTTTTTTTTAAATAAAAATATTTCTTTTTTTTTTTTCTTATTTGCTGAAACTTTCACTGGATCCTGACAGTAGGACACAAGATGAAAATGAAGCAATGAAAACAACCAATCAGAACCAAGAAAGATAGGTCATTGTTGAGTTTTATTCCCAGGGCATCAAATACAGACTTCGACACTCTGTGAATGAGACTCAACAATCAACTATCTTTCTTAGAAGCACTAGGAGGATCCTACCTGCTGCAGCTTTAATGGACCAGTGTCCGAGTGGTGAAGTTGCAGATTGCAACCAACTGAATACTGCCTTCCAAGCATGCAGGAGAAACTACGGTGGCTGCAAAATGTAGAACCAGTGTTTGGTTTGTCCATTCTGGCTACTGTAGAAACATGGCAATTCAACATGCAGACTCCATAGGAAGAGACCCGGCTTCCTCTCAATAGATCCTCGCTAAATGTTACACACTGGACTTTTTTAAAGAGTTGTAATCTTAAAACCAGTGGAGACTTTTGAAGCTAGCATTAATTAGGTAGCTTGCTACAGCCGATAAAATCTGCTAACGACAGCTGACATTTCTGCCAGCAAAAGAATTAAGAGGCTGCCATTGTTATCATTGTACACTGCATACATGCCTGAATGGGAAGCTTTACAAGCGTATAGCCACAGTAACTAAGAGGGAGAGGCCACTAGTACTTTAATGGTGCCCGATGTGGGGAGGAAAGAAACAAGTCTACTGATTGATGTTCACACGGAGGCTTGGGACTGAGGATCATAGGACCAGGGGATTGTGGGTACAAGGCCAATTATGGGCCAAGCGAAAGCAGATCTTTGAGTTTATTCTGTCCCTTGCTATTGATGTGAATGTTAAAGACGCAAAGGCACAGCGGGTCGTCCACTAATAGGCACACGGGTCGTCCACTAATCGGAAAGGTTGTTGGTTCGATCCCCGGCTCCTCCATGGCCACGTGTCGAATTTATCCTTTGAGCAAGATACTGAACCCCGAATTGCTCCTTGATGGCCGTGCCATCACTGTGTTGAATGTGTGGTGAAAGGGTCAAATGGTGCATGTTAGTTGTAAAAGCGCTTTGAGTTGGTCGGAAGACTAGAAAGGCGCTATACAAGTACAG